CTATTTTCAGATTCCAATAAAGAATTTACTCTCTTACATTTAAGGACCTTGAACATATTCATAATTGCTTTCAAGTACATTTTTATTCAACTATATTACGTATCTTGGGGCCAGCTGTAGTTGCTTCACTGGGTTTTTGTGGTTGGATCCTGTCTTGAATTTTGGTATTTGTGTTTCTGTGCTGGTATCTAGGCATTTGGAATGGGATGACTGAAAAGTGTTGATATCTGGTTTTGCCTTTGTAGGCTGGGTGTTCCATTCCTCAGATTCCGTTGTTCTCTATGGATATTGCCAAAGTCTGGTGGCTGTGAGTGGCCCAGCAGGGAGTGCTTTTGCCTGTGACTGCGTGGCAGAGTGGGATAGATGTGGGCAAAGAGGAAAGGCTGAATGGGGTTTCAGAGATAAGGGAATCCTCTTCACCCCTAGGATTGGGGTCCATGTGGACTAACAAGTGTGATAGAAAGAGGGTATTCTGGAACTAAGCTAATGTAAACCAAAGAATTATCTGGAAAGACAGAGATATTAGGGGACCCTGTATCTGAGCCAAAAGTTGGAGTCTCCGGGGAATTGAAATGAGACTGAGGGGACCTGTAAGCACATTGTTCCTGGGGTGGTGAGAATGGAAAGATCCTAATGGAGGGCAGGTGAATAGTGTGGTTAACCCCCCAGAATCCCTACCAGTGTGACTACTGGGAGCCTAGTTGAAAGCATTTGTGGGTTCTAGAACTTGTCAGGAAGAAATGGGAATGGGCTAGGCACTTAGGAATGCAGATGAGAAGGTCTATAGGAAGAAGATCCAAGCTTTAGTGGAGTATTCCAAGTTTGGGTGTGGAATGGGAGGAGAGGCACCTTCAACCAGGCTGCTATAGGGCTGGGAATGAGACTGGAGAGTTTGGAATGGGGGAACAGGAAAAAGAGTGAGAAATACCTACCGGTCCTAGCCTGTTGTGGTCCTGTGTGTCCCATATAGAGGGTCTTTATAGGTGCCTGTGACTGACAAAAAGGGATGGGGAGAGACTAGATCAAGGGTATAGCATTTTGTTAGTTCCTCTGTAAGCCTATAATTCTCTCAAAATGCTATTATTAACAACAAATATCTTAGACTATGATAGTATTTTCACAACACCAAACAGGAGGAACTAAAAATGAAAAAAATGGGTAATTGTTGTCTTAAAAGGTGTGTGTGTGTGTTGAAAATATGAAGGCATATAGACTTTAAAAATTAAAATAAAAAATTCTTACACTACTTCTGAATTTTAAATAAACATAAAACCCTTCCAACACCTGTCTGTTTTTATACCAATACAAAGTTGTATTCGTTTTTGTAGCTCGATAATACAGCTTGATGTCAGGGATGGTAAAGCATCCAGAAGTTCCTTTATTTTACAGGATGGTTTTGGCTATCATGAATTTTTTGGTTTTTTATATGGCTTTTTCGAGGTCTGTTAAGATTTGTGATGTGTGATTCCCTTCTGTGTTGTGAATATGTTTTATTGCCATTGCTTAATAAAGATTTTTGCTTTGTCTGGTGGCAGTGTAGAATATAGCAAGGAAGTATTTTAAAAACAAGATAGAAGAGGAAAAAAGATAGAGTCAGGGAGCTGCCTTGTTGCTTCTAGAGGAAAAAGATACCAAAACCATATCCGTAAGCTACAGCCTATTGGAGATACACAGATGAATAGAAATTGGTTGATTTAAGATATAAGGGGTAGCTAGGAATATGCCTGATGTTGGCTAAACAATATTGTAATTAATATATCTTTGTGTTATTATTCGTGTCTGTGTGGCCACAAAACAAAAAAAGCAGACCTTGGTTACATAATGGCATTCAACATTTAGCAACATACATCCATGTAAAGTCCGAGAAAGCTTTTAAAAGGGGCTTCTAAACACACAAAATATGAGTCAACTGAAGCTTCTTGTTAGCCACAATTTTTTTTAGATAGGCTCTGTTTTGTGGCAGCTAACAGAGGTATTGTTCCTTTAAGAGACAGCTTCATTGGTTCCTAATAGTGATAGAAAAGGGAAGAGCCAACACTTGGCTATCCTGTCCTATGAAGCAAGGAGAGTCCAAGGTTATAATCAGGTCAGTTCTCATTTATTTTACGTGAGAAGGGAGACACAAAGGTATCCCAAGTACAGCTCTTCTTAGATGTAGTCCAGACAGACTCACCTGAGTCCACGATGAATGTTCATTCCACCACATCCCAGAGGGGTGACCAACAGGGGCTCCTATACACATATTATGTGTAATGTCAGGTTTTTTAAAATATACTGGACATACTATTGCTAAGGACATGTTACTCTGTGTGTTCTGCAGGAGCCTATGAAATGTCTTGAGAACTTGCTTGTCTAGAGCTTCAGTGAGAAGCTTCCCCTCAGTTTTCTTCTGAACCCTCTCTCCTATTTGGGGTGGGATAGGAGATAATCTAACAACTGCCTCTGAAATAAAGATTTAAACATTGGCCATTGTGCCTTCTGATCTTCAGAAACCAAAACCACCTGTATTCTGTGCCCTACCAGACATGGAGTGGGCTGGCCAGCTTCAAGTGGGAGAGGACAGGCCAGATGCAGGGCTGTAAACCCCACTCAAGTTATTGACCCTATAGCTCCTTCTTCTACTGGTAAATGAAGAAGTGTGACCATCACACCAGTACAACCACCAAGCATATTTCCACAGATGGAACACAGTCCCCACCAGCTGCACCATCAGTTACTAGGTTCACAGTAACACTGGCACACCTCATCACTGGAATAATCGGGCGTCCCGCTCTGTGGGTAATTAGTGCTCCTGATCAGTGAGGGTCAAAAGTATCAGTTTCTCATCAACTGATTAGCCCCAGTTTTGAGGCTTATATGCTAAAAACATGGTCACTTGATTTGAACCATGAGATTTCCTTATGCCAGTGTTGCAGAAGCCATAAATTGATTATTAGTTTTATATCACAGAATTATACCTTTATGGAAAATGATCTAGAAAGACCAGATGTAGTTGAAGCTTGTATTTTATCTTATTTTATTTATTTTTATTTTCTTAATGTTTTTTAATACATCTAAACTGCAGTTTCCCCTCCCTTCACTGTCCTTAATACCTCTCTTACTTCACACCAACATTCACTTCAGAACAGTTTATTAAAAAACAGGCTTCCCAGAGACATCAGTCCAACATGGCTAACAAGATACAGTAAGACTAGACACCAACCCTCATATCAGAGCTGGGCCAGCCAATCTAGTAGAAAATAAAGGGTCTCAGAAGCACACAGAAGAGTCAGAGACAGCCCCAGCTCCTGCTGTTAGAAGTCCCACAAAACCGCCAAGTTAACAACTATAACATACATGCAGAGGACCAGTGCAGACTCATGAAGTCCCCATGATTGTCTCTTCAGTCTTTAAGAGCCCCAAAGAACCCTGCTCAGTTGATTCTGTGGGTCATGTTCTCCTGGTGTTCTTGACCCCTCTGGTCCCTACAATTCTTTCTCCCCTCCCTTCCTTGGGGTTCCCTGAGCTACAAAGGGAAGAATCTGATGGAAATCTCTAAGTTGGGCTCTCTCTCTCTCTCTCTCTCTCTCTCTCTCTCTCTCTCTCTCTGTTCAGCTGTGGATCTCTGCATCTTTTCCCATCAACAGCCAATGGAGGCCTCTCTGATGACATTATATTATATCATGATGTCCTCTAGGAATTGCTCAAATCTTGAGTTGTGCTGAGACTGTTGCATTTGCTATTATGCTAAGTGGGTGAGGTTTTGTGAGGGACTGAGAATGTGTATATTGACAGAGATCAAGGACTTTGGAGGATTTGGAATTTATGGTGGCCAGTGGTCATTTGTTTTGTGAAGTAAGGACATCTAAGCTCTTTTGGATTTTTGTAAATGGTTATTCTGAAAGTGATAATGTCTGCACTGTTCTATGACTGCAAGAGATGATTTGCCCACCTGCTGTGGGTCTTCTGGTTCTGCAGGGAAGCCAATCTGCTGTAAAGAACTCAGGTTCCTTGTTATCTATATCCAGTGCCACAAAACGTGGTGGAACTGAAGTCCTGTTTACCGATGCTGATCTTCATCTCCAGACTTCACACACTCTGTCCTCATAAGAGGGTTTGAACACTGCAATGAAAAGTTTCATACACTCATGACCAACCTCAACTGTGATGCCCCATATTGACCACACTCCCCATGCAATGAATGAGAGTGGCCCTTGCTCAGTCTCCCTATATGATGATGGACCAATCAGTGTTGGTTTATTGATAGAACTATGTCACACCAAGATTATATGGTTAGGAGAGGTTCCACAGTCTACGCTCAGGATTTGTATATTAATGTGAAATCCATTTTACTACGTGGATCAAATGGACATGACTCTTAGCCAAGCTATCTTGAGGGCATCCCCAGGGTAGAACACACAGCAGAGGTCAGTGTCCTAGATCTGTGCCTCAGGTGCCTCCTCTCTCTGTGCCTTAGGGTCCTGGTGCCTCAGCTTTGGAACTATGGCCACTGTAGGGACTCCTGTTTACTTCAAAGTGGGTAATTGCTCTCTGAGGGCCACTTCCTAGCAATCTCAGTGTCCACGCCAAGGGGCAGACCCTACTTTAAGGTCAACAGCAAACAAAAGAAACACAGGACTCTCACCCTGTGGCCACACTGCATTTTCTCCATGACATGCAGACATCTTGGACTTAGATGGGCACTAAGTGACAATTTCTCTTTCCATGTGAGCTGATCCTTCGTCCTCTACTCACATCTTTCCTATGGGCATTTTTCTTACCTGCTTTTCAGTGTGTGTGTGTGTGTGTGTGTGTGTGTGTGTGTGTGTGTGTGTGTTTAGTCTCAAAACTGTTACCAGAGTCACTTTCCTTCACAGTTTCAGTTTGAAACTAAGAGCTTGGCCTCTGTGGGTCTGCTTAGGGACCTGTCTGAGCCGTTGCTCATTGCTGGACAGAAAGCTTGGCCTTTAACTTGGTTCTGGGGCAGATCAGAATCTCTGAGATAGGCATGGTGGTTTCCCATGAATCTGGTGCAGAGTTCAGGCCCCAAAGTCATCTGTGACCCAAAGCTGCAGCCAGACAGGTACTGGGTTGAGATGCAGACAGAGGGGATTTGGGGGCTCAACTGAGAAGCCCTGAGTGCTGTATGAGGCCATGGGGCATCTGCAGAGAATTCTGACAGACCTACCTTTTTTGATTTCGCAGGGACAGTTATTGGCCTAGAGATTCTATGGGTTTCTTGGTTCGTCAGTGGGAGGAGGAGGAAGGGAGGTATCAAAATCTCAGGTCCTGCTCTCAAGCTCACCCCGCAGGAGAAAGGCCTTGATCTGTGCATTTGCAGGGGAGAAGATACGCTTCCTTGTTCAGGACATGCCCTGGTGTGAGTTCTTAGTTTCCATGGAGCCAACAGCCTACTCCTGCATCTCCAGGAAGGGTCTAGGAACACTCACTCCCACGGAGACACTAGAGAAGACAGAACTTTTTTTAACCACATGCTGATCAGTCCATGTGCTCTTCGGCCTGAGAGGTTCATATATTTGAAGAGTCATTGGTGATTGGAGACAGAGGGGTTTATTAGGTATAGTGAAGAAAGACTTGAGACGGGGCAAGGGTGAAAGCCTAGAAATTTGAACGCTGGGTTGAAACTGTGTCCATGCCTTTCATGATGTGTTTCCAGCCTAGACACCTTCTCTGGTAGGTACAAGCCTCCACCAGGCCCAAGGAAGGGGAAGATGCCTCTCTACCTCATTAGGTATATTATCCACAAAGAATGCTTAGGGTGGCCAGGGAGAAATAGACAGTTGTGCTGTTCACAGTGATATGATCATTTCCTTCCCAAGAGCCAGGACCATCTGTGCCGACTGCATGTTATGCTGCCACTGCTCCATGCTCCAGTCCCCCAAGCACGCTTCCCCAGAACTGTTTGGCAGCCTGCATCTGAGAAGCCTGACCAACCCCTTCATGAGGCTGCTCATCTCTAGGTCCAGAAACACCTGTGCTGGAGACCAGATTGGCCCTTGGTATGTTTTAGCAGTCTTGATTATATGTTTATAGGAGTTCCAGGTCTCAGGATATCATAGCACATGATCAATATCAAAGCTAAAAGATGTTACAGAGGGATACTGCCCACCACAGGCAGGGTTTCCTTTTATTCTGGGTCTTTTGTATGCAGAGTGCAGAGCTCAGACTAGTGCACTAGGTTGAGAGATGATGTCATCATTTCAATTATGTGCTTTCTATACCAACAGCATCCATGACAAGCATTCCGGCTGCACCCTTAGTGAGATGATGGACGCTCTACACCCTGTGTCTCCTTGACCAAACCCACCTGTGTCACAGTAATTCCCAGGGGCTCATTCTAAAATCGCAATGAACAACTATACGGCTGTGGTAGAGTTTGTCCTGCAGGGATTCTCTATGAATCATGCATTCCATGCTTTTTTCTTGGTATTTTTTCCCATTTCCTATCTAATGGCTCTTGCAGGAAACACCCTCATTTTCATGGCCATCAGCCTGAACCCAAGTCTTCACACCCCCATGTACTTCTTCCTTGAAAACCTGGCTCTGATGGACATTGCCTGCACATCCACTGTTCTTCCCAAGATGTTGGAGGGTCTGGTGGGGAAGGGCAGCCACATCTCCTATAAGGGATGCTTGACTCAGCTTTTCTTCCTAACCTGGGTTCTGGGGGCTGAGCTGCTGCTGCTCACAGCCATGGCCTATGACCGCTATGTGGCCATCTGCCGCCCACTGCACTACAGCATGCTGATGAGTCGGCCCGTCTGTGTCCTGCTGGCGGGCAGTGTGTGGGCCATCAGTGCAATCAACTCCTCTGTACACACTGGCCTGATGGCAAGGCTCCATTTCTGTGGCCCCAACCAAATCCGCCACTTTTTTTGTGAAATTCCAGCACTGCTACTGCTGTCTTGCAGCCCGACCACCCTCAACGACATCATGACTGTCATTGCAGATGTTTATTTTGGTGTGATCAACTTCCTGTTTACCATGATATCCTACAGCTTCATCATTGCCAGTATCCTACGCATCCGCTCTGCCGAGGGTAAGAGACGTGCTTTCTCCACCTGCTCTGCCCATCTGGTGGTGGTCATCTTATACTACTCTACTGTCATCTATACCTATGTACAGCCTGGCTCTGGATCCTCCGGAAATAGCAAGGTGGCTGCCTTAATATACACAGCAGTCAGCCCGACCCTGAATCCCCTCATTTACTCTCTGAGGAATAAGGATGTCAAAGTGGCTCTCAGGAAGGTGTTTCCCTCTGTCTGTTGAGGAGGTAGAAAGTAGTGTGTGGCTTGATCCAGCTGTTGATGAACTCATTGGAACCTATGACTAAGAATCTGATGTCATGACAAGGAACAGAAGAGCAATTTATGTTACAGATGTACACAAAATGTGCTTCTCTTGGTGGAGACACTGACCATTTCTTTCTGTCTGTGTGAGGGTCCATGTTTGGGACAGGCTGCATGTCTGTAGCCTGGTGTCACCAATGTAGGCGTTTTTGGAATCCTTTGTTGTTGAAAATCATCCAGACCCCTATATTTGACTTCAGAAGAACTGTGTCTGGTGGGAACAGAAGGTAGGGGGGAAGGGGAGGTGGTGAGACAGGGAGGGGGGAGGAGAACTTGAGGAAATGGTATGGTCCAGATGGAGGGAGGAGCATGGAAAGAGATGTTTTGAATGAGGGAGCCATTATGGGTCTGGCAAGAGACCTGGCACTGGAGAGATTCCCAGAAGGCCAGAGGATGACCCTGGCTAAGACTCTAAACAATAGAGGAGAGAATGCCCAAACTGGCCTTGCCCTGTAATCAGACTGATGAATATGTTAAATGCTACAATAGAAACTTCATTTAGCGGCTGCCAGAAACAGAGGCAGAGACCCACAGTAGAGCAAAGGGCTGAGCTCCCAAAGTCCAGTTGAAGAGTGGGAGGCATGAGAATATGAGCAGAGGTCAAGACCATGATATGGACATAGTTCCCCAACTCCAGCTGAACAGGATCAGAATCAGCATGGGTCCAAACTAGTCTCCTGTATGTGGGTGACAGTTGTGTGCCTGGGGCAGACTGCGGGCCACTGGCGATGACACCAGGATTGTCCCTTCTGCTTTTGGGGAACATATTCTCTTTGGATGGATGCCTTGCTCAGCCTGGATATAGTGTGGAGGGTCTTGGACCTTCCCCAAAGCAATGTACCTCGCCCTCTGAGAGGAGTGGCTGGTGGGTGTTGTGGGAGGATAAGTGGAGGGAATGAGAGGGTGGGAGGGAGTGGAACCTGGGATTGCTATGTAAAATGAAAAAAAGATAGTTTGTTTTAATTTTAAAAAGAAATAAGATGAAAGAAATCACAAAAAGCATTTAGTAAATTCAAAGGAAAAATATTCATAACCTACACTCTGCATTTTTCAATCTTTATGTGTCTTTTTTATTCTAGTATATCTTTAAAGACTTTGTTGTATTTTTTAAAACTAGTTGTCTTTTAGTTGTCTATACTGTTTTTCCTCTCTCTCCCATCATATGTACCTTTCTAAAGACACTTTGTCTTTCTTAGAGGTCTATTATGTCTGAATTTGTCGTAGTGTGTATCTGAAATACTTATCTGAGAAAATCAACAAGAAAGACAACCCTTATCCAAACTAATCAATAAGTAGAGAGGAGAACATCCAAATTAACAAAATCAGAAATGAAAAGCAGGACAGAACAACATACACTGAGGAAATCCAGAGAATCATTGGGTCATACTACAAAAACCTGTTCTCCACAAAACTGGAAAATGTAAAAGAAATGGACAGTTTTCTGGATAGGTACCACATATCAAAATTAAATCAAGACCAGGTAATCAATTCAAATATACCAATAAACTGCAAGGATATAAAACCTCACCAAAAAGTGGCATCAGCTGGCAAACGTGTTCAAATACCTAAGCTTATGGAGTCATTTGTCATCCAAATCAATACATCATCTGCCCCTAACTGATCCCCATGGCAGGAATGAACTGCTTCCTCTAGGTCTGAGATTGTAATTGTCACATGAGGGAAGGTTGGTTTTGTTCTGATATAGGTCAGAGGCTCTTGCTGGATACTCAGGCCAGAGAAGGCAGGATGCTGAGGTGAGCACAGTTCACAGGTTGGAAAGCCAGAACAGGAGTGAAGTAATTAGCAACAGAAGATGGTGTGGAGGGGACAAACACTTGCACTGGAGTTTGTGATTTTGTAACATATTTACTCTTGTGATGTGTTTGTTAATGTTTTTCTTAGCTTTCTTAGCAAATACAAACTTTGGATAGTCAGGTACAATCATATCAGAGGCTAAGGTAAGAAGATCTGCTGTTAAATGCAAACCTGAGCTACACAAAAGACTCTGCCTTGAAAAAAAAGACAAACACAAAACCAAGTCCACTACAAGAATCACAGAGAGCATCTGGGGCTGAGTTGAGATTGTCTAGACCCAGAGGTAGAAACAGAGACTTCTCTAGAGAAAGATCTTGTGAGAGGAAGTTCAGGAGTTTTTCCAGATGGGCTAGCCTCCCAGCCCAATGCAACGAGACAGGTAGACACGCTAGACAAGATTGACACACAGGGGCTATCTCTATGAAGGATTCCAAGCTTTGGAAATACCAGTAAAGCTGTAAAATAAGACGAGCTCTAGACACATCCATGCATGGATGTGGGGTTGTGTTTCTACTTTTCATGAGTGAGTGTGATCAAGAACTGATGCCTGCATCTCTGAAGCTATGGAGTGAGTTTAGTACATGTAACTGGATTCAGATAGGTGTGTTAAAATATTAACACATTTGTCTTCAGAGACCGTAACTAAATGGGGTGCCAGCAGTTCTTTATGGCCAAAATGCTGGATAGGAAAGAATCAAATGTAGAGGGAAGAAATTGGTCCCCAGTAACTGAAACCTGGAATTAAATAGCCCCATGTGCAACATCCCCTAGGAAGCTCCAGGACATCAACAAGAGGAATTCCTGTATAGACAAGCAAAAGGAAGAGTCAATCAACACTTGTCCTATGAAGCAAGGTGGGTCCAAGGTTATATTCAGATCAGTTCTCATTTAGTCTATGCAAGAAGGAGCCACCAAGGTATCCCAAGTACAGCTCTTCTTAGATGTAGCCCAGACAGACCCACCTGACTCCATGATGAATGTGCATTTTACCACGTCCCAGAGGTTTGACCAACAGGGGTTCCTACACATGTATTATGTGTAATGTCAGTCTTTTTAATATACTGGGAGTACTATTGCTAAGGACATGTTGCTCTGTGTGTTCTGCAGTAGCCCATCGAATGCCTTCAGAACTTGCTTGCCTAGAGCTACAGTGAGCAGCTTCCCCTCAGTTTTCTTCTGAGCCCTCTCTCCTGTTTGGAGTGGCATAGAAGATATCCGACAACTGCCTCTGAAATAAAAATTTAAACATTAGTCCATTGTGCCTTCTGATCTTCAGGAATCAAAGCCTCCTGTATTCTGTGCCATTCCAGAGATGGAGCAGTGTGGCCAGCTACAAGGGGCAGAGAACAGACCAGATACAGGGCTGTCCACCCCACTCAAGCCTGTCCCTATAGCTCGTGCTGGTTTTCTTTTTCTGGTAAATGACTGAGTGTGATCAGTACAGCACTGATCCACCAAGCATATTTCCACAGATGGAACACAGTCCCCACCAGCCGCACCATCAGTTACTAGGTTCACGGTAACACTGGCACACCTCATCACTGGAATAATCGGGTGCCCTGCTCTGTGGGTAATTACTGCTCCAGGTCAGTAAGGGTCAAATGAGTATCAGTTACTCAATAACCAATTAGCCCCAGTTTTGAGGCTTATATGCTAAAAACATGGTCACTTGATTTGAACCACGAGATTTCCTTACGCCAGTGTTGCAGAAGCCATAAATTGATTATTAGTTTTATATCACAGAATTATACCTTTATGGAAAATGATCTAGAAAGACCAGATGTAGTTGAAGCTTGTATTTTATCTTATTTTATTTATTTTTATTTTCTTAATGTTTTTTAATACCTCTAAACTGCAGTTTCCCCTCCCTTCACTGTCCTTAATACCTCTCTTACTTCACACCAACATTCACTTCAGAACAGTTTATTAAAAAACAGGCTTCCCAGAGACATCAGTCCAACATGGCTAACAAGATACAGTAAGACTAGACACCAACCCTCATATCAGAGCTGGGCCAGCCAATCTAGTAGAAAATAAAGGGTCTCAGAAGCACACAGAAGAGTCAGAGACAGCCCCAGCTCCTGCTGTTAGAAGTCCCACAAAACCGCCAAGTTAGCAGAGGACCAGTGCAGACTCATGAAGTCCCTATGATTGTCTCTTCAGTCTTTGAGAGCCCCTAAGAGCCCTGGTCAGTTAATTCTGTGGGTCATGTTCTCCTGGTGTTCTTGACCCCCTCTGGTTCCTACAATTCTTTCTCCCCTCCCTTCCTTGGGGTTCCCTGAGCTACAAAGGGAAGAATCTGATGGAAATCTCCAAGTTGGGCGCTCTCTCTCTCTCTCTCTCTCTCTCTCTCTCTCTCTCTCTCTCTCCAATGTTCAGCTGTGGATCTCTGCATCTGTTCCCATCAACAGCCAATGGAGGCCTCTCTGATGACATTATATTACATCTTGATGTCCTCTAGGAGTTGCTCAAATCTTGAGTTGTGCTGAGACTGTTGCATTTGCTCTTATGCTAAGTGGGTGAGGTTTTGTGAGGGACTGAGAATGTGTATATTGACAGAGATCAAGGACTTTGGAGGATTTGGAATTTATGGTGGCCAGTGGTCATTTGTTTTGTGAAGTAAGGACATCTAAGCTCTTTTGGATTTTTGTAAATGGTTATTCTGAAAGTGATAATGTCTGCACTGTTCTATGACTGCAAGAGATGATTTGCCCACCTACTGTGGGTCTTCTGGTTCTGTAGGGAAGCCAATCTGCTGTAAAGAACTCAGGTTCCTTGTTATCTATATCCAGTGCCACAAAACGTGGTGGAACTGAAGTCCTGTTTACCGATGCTGATCTTCATCTCCAGACTTCACACACTCTGTCCTCATAAGAGGGTTTGAACACTGCAATGAAAAGTTTCATACACTCATGACCAACCTCAACTGTGATGCCCCATATTGACCACACTCCCCATGCAATGAATGAGAGTGGCCCTTGCTCAGTCTCCTTATATGATGATGGACCAATCAGTGTTGGTTTATTGATAGAACTATGTCACACCAAGATTATATGGTTAGGAGAGGTTCCACAGTCTATGCTCAGGATTTGTATATTAATGTGA